TACTTCGTCGGAGAGCCATGGCTGGGCTGATGAGGAAAAGTGACTGGAAACTTGTAGAAGTGCGCACTGTCTGCTTACGTGCGCGCTGAAGCTCTTGTGCTCCTTGTGGCGTTTGTTTAAAGAGGAGGACAACGCGTTAGAAGTGGAGCGAGCAGAGGGTAGAAGATGGGATGGAAGGCAATGGACTGAGATGTACTGTACGTGGATGACGGGTGCAATGCAGCAAGGAACTTGTGATTTCCCTCGCTCGATACCTCTTAGTCAGGGCCACGCTCTGTTGATGCGGTCTTCGAATTGAAGTGGTGGGTTTGAGTCATGAGGCAGGCGTGTGGTTGCTGTGGAGGTGAGGTGCGGTGACAGCCGTGAGTATGTATACAGCAGCATACATGCTTCGAAACTCGGGACGTTACAAAGCCTGCATCCAAAGATTTGGTAATCGAATCTAGAAATTGAATTTTGAATTATGCCTCTTCAAATTCCAGCACAGACCAGGCAAAATCCACGGCAAGTGCGAGTCAATCACGTGAATGTCTATTAAGTCTCGCTTTTCGCGGGGGAAAACCTTCTCGAAAGTTGGAATTGAAATGGAAACCGTGGGCTCACGATTCTTGATTTTGGGGGCGGCCGTGCGTAGTCACGTGACCGCGTTGTGCAATGTGGAGGAGCTATAGGCACTCACGACTGTCTGTTCGAGTCTTGACTCGAGAACTGGCACACCAAGCTCACTCATGACTGCAGACTCTTCTGACTGGCGGATGGACAAATCAAGCCCCACGTCCTCTGCGACATGATGCACAAAGCCTCGACCTCTTTGCAAGTGGGTCAAAGTGGTGCCTTGGCCAAGTCTACCACAAGACACTCCCCACTTACAGTCAAAGTGCACGCTTGGGCAAAGTTGGTTTGATTCCGAGGACAAGGACCATCGCGCGGCGCGGCTTTTTGATCGAGGGCCATCAGCCATCAGACGAGGGGCGATGTGCGCTGGAGGAGAAAGAGGAGGCGGGA